ATCATAGCTACCAAAGATGAAGAGGAAAGCCTGGGCAAGTATCTCAGTTTCAGTCAAACCTATAAAATGTTACCAAACATCTAGAAGCTAGAAAACTATGTTCCAAATCCATTCTGAAATTTAATTTCCCTCCAGACACAAACAGTGCACTTGCTCTTAAGCTAAAATATATACAGTAGCCTAGGATAGATTTATGGTTATGGTTTTTGAGGCGGAAATCTTTGCAGAGAGAAGGATTAAATTCCTTGATTTCAAACTTGATCAAACACATAACTAGTTTTGGATCGACAAAATGAAAAAAACAAGATTTAATTAGTTGAAGGGTATGTTTCAAATCAGAATGTTAAATCTAAAGCACAGATATATTTCATTAAAACTTAAACAAAACAGAGAAAAGCTGCCATTTCTTGAATTTAAGAGGGAAAACTGAAAGCTTTTGACAATTTTGCTTAAGTGAACTTCATGATTCATAGAAATTGACATAAAGTGTGAATACCTTTACTTGGCTGCTCTTGTTCATTATTTGTCTCTGAATCTCATTTTGAATCATCACCTGAAGGAAGTCTGCTCGAAGCTAGAACAGCACAGAAAAAAACCAAAATATGTTTCTATTTAATGTTGAATAAATAACTTAACATTATAGGTGTAGTGGCAAACTAACAACAAGAAGTGCCACTGGAGGGAATCCGAATCATTTCCAACTCATGGTGTGTAAAAAGGGAATGTCTGCCGTTGATTACTTTTGAAGTATTTTTTTTATCAACAATCTTAAAAAGCACCAACAAAAAGATGGGTGTATACTGCATTAGACAGACAAGCTCGTAAACAAAAACAAATACTGAACACGACAGGATCCAGACAACATCTTCTCACACACTCACGGTTGAAAAACTGTGTGGCTTTCACTAATTCCCTCTCCCCCTTCACTTGTGTCTCCCTTTTCTCCCTACCTGTGGCTGCTACATGTTCCAACTCAACACAACAACTTTACAAGGGTCCCAGGCTCAACAAGTGTCTATGGCATTGGCAGAGACCACTTGTGAGAGAGTGGAGGTTGCACCCCTTCATAGTGGCTCAGATATGGAATTGCTTTAGCAGGGCAGGGTTGGACCTTTTTGCCTCCAGAGTGAACACCCACTACCCCCTGTTCTTTTCCATAACAGACCACAATGTACCTCTGGGAATGGATGCGCTAGAGCACCAAGGGCCAAGCCTATCTCCCTGGCATACAACAGCAGAGGTCTTCAGTTACCCCCCTCCTTCAGGGAACAGAAGTTATAGTCATGACATTTCATTATAGACTCTGCATTTAGTGGAAATAGGACATATCACATTATGCTACAAGTCACTGCTCCATGCAGGTCAAATATATCAACCTCAAATTTGTCTCAGGAAAGCCTTGCAAAGCACTTGATGACTTTGACGTCGACAACTACATGTAAACGACAAAACAGACAATGTGACTAGGACTGTTAACAAGACGGACACTGGCGATGAAAAGAGCTTGACCGTTGACTCTGACTGTACTCCACCTAAACCTAGTGGTTCCGTGCTACTTGACCTTGGAATACAACACATTGACGCTGACTCAGGTGAACTGTCTCTCTTCTGGAAGTCAAAGCTGGTTGAATTTATAGCCAAGTATGAGTCAATCTTCTCTCGTCACAGTTTAGACTGTGGGAAAGCCAAAGACTTTGTTCACCGAATCAGGCTGATTGACAGCAGACCCTTCAGACTGCCTTATGGTTGTCTGTCTCCTTCACATTATGAGAAGCTCAGGATGGCTTTTAAAGAGATGGAGGAACGGGACATCATAAGAAAGTCAACAAGCAAGTACGCTTCGGCCCTTGTTTTGGTTTGGAAAAGAATGGTGATCTGCAGCTTTGCACAGATTTTCGTGGGGTCAATGCGAGTACATTCAAGGATGCACATCCACTGCCTCACTAGGCTGATGCTTTGGCTGCTCTAGGAGGGAATGCTTTCTTCTCGACCATGGATCTGACCTCTGGATACTACAATGTGGAAGTCCATGAGGAGGATAAGAAGTTCACCGCATTCACCTCTCCATTTGGGTTGTACGAGTATAACAGGCTTCCACAGCGACTCTGTAACAGCCCTGGCACATTCATGAGGATGATGATGTCCATCTATGGTGACCAGAATTTCTTAAGCCTCCTGGGTTATCTCAATGACATTCTTGTCTTTGCCCCCAACAAACAGCTTACCTTACCAAGACTTGAAATGGTGTTTGAGAAGTTACAGGCACACAACTTGAAGCTGGCGCCCAAAAAGTGCCACTTCAAGAGGTCGTCACTTAAGTTCCTCAGGCACATTGTGACCAAAGGTGGCATCTCAACCTACCCAGAGAAGGTCAAAGCCATTATTGATCTGACTGAGAAGGATTTGATGGATGAGAGCAGTAACAGCCCTCTCCCTCCAAGGTACGGTCATTTCTTGGTATGGTTGGATTCTACCAACAGTTCTTTGAGGGTTACTCCAGCATCAACAAGCCTCTCTTTGCCCTAGCATCAGGTATGCAAAAGCCACGACATGCCAAAGGTAAAAAAGAGCGCCCCTGTGAACAGGAAGTTGACTTCTGATGATTAGACATCGGAGTGCAGTGGAGCTTTCAGGACGCTGAAGCAGGCTTTGTTAGACAATGTCACTCTAGCACATCCGGACTTCAGTAGGCTTTGGTGCTGTTTCATCGCAACTGGCGGACAGTGACGATGTTGCTCGACCAATAGCCTTTGCCAGCAAATCTCACAGGCTTGATTTTTTGGCACTCAAGTGGGCTGTTAATTCAGTCACTGGATGAGAGGTCATCTGTTCACCGTGTGGACTGACAACAACCCTTTGAACTACATTCTCAGTAAACCGAAGCTTGATGCCTGTGAACAAAGATGTGTTGCAAAAATTGCTCCATATGACTTTGAAATCAAGTACATTCCCGGCCCTAAGAATGTGGTTGCAGACACACTTAGCCGTGAGCCTTTTGTGCAGAGGGTTTGCTATAGCGCCTCACCAAAGTCCCTTACGGTGCACTTCTGACAGAAACTGACGCTCCGGACTCTGACTGTGTGCAGGATGCTTTTCGTCAGTCCTGTGAACTTCCAGCCATGCTGCACACACACCATTACTCGACTGTGAACTGCAGAGATGCTGTTTCTGCTGTCTTGAAACAGTCTTTGGACCTAGACAAGCTGCCTCCTCAAGCCTACCGCTTTCCTCAACTTGTTCAGTCTGTTCAACCACATGAGCTGTCTGAGGTTTGTCCTCTGCCAAGAGACAAGCTGATGGATACAAAACGTACTGAGACTTGTTTGAGCCGTGTTATCCTGTTTGTAGAACGTCAGAGGCTCCCAGACATTGGGATAAGCTGTCAGTCAAAACAGGTGTTCTTTGTTGTGTCATAAAAGACCCTGTTACTAAGAAAAGATCTACCTTTATGTTGAGCCTGCTGCGCTGAGAGAAAAAGTCCTTAAAGGTGTGCATGATGAGGCAGGTCATCAAGGCCAAAAAAGGGCGCTCTACCTGACTAGATAAAGGTTCATCTGGCATGGGATGGAGAGAGATGTCAGAGACTATGTGAAGTGTTGTCGTCGTTCTGTGTGTAGTAAGTCTCCTGAGCCTTAGGCCAGGGTAAAGCTTGAGAGTGTGACCACATCCAGACCTCTCGAGTTGGTCTGTATAGTTGTTTGGTCTGCTGAGGATTCCTCCAACAAGTCTCTTTCTTGATGTGCTTGTGGTTACTGACCATTTTACTGCTGGTGCAGGCCTACCTCTGTCCGAACCAGTCAACCAAGGTTGTCGCCCAACAACTCTGGAACAACTTCTTCTGTGTTTATGGCTTTCCTGAGCGGATACACTCCGGTCAACGGTGCTGTAGAGAGATTTAATTGCACCCTTGGAAATATGATCAGAGCACTGTCCCCAAAAGCCAAACGCAGATGGCCTCAACTGCTGAGATCTCTCAACTTCTCCTACAATGCCACAGTGCATGAGACCACTGGTTTCGCCCCATTTCAACTGATGTTTGGCAGAACTCCCAGGTTGCCTGTTGATGTGATGTTTGGTTCTGTCCTTGTGGATAATCAGGTGGTGGACTATGATGACTATGTGCAGATTTTAAGACGTGACCTAGCAGAGGCTGTGAGAGTTGCTCAGGTCTCCACCACAAAACAGCAGCAGAAACAAATAGACTATTACAACAAGAGGTTCAAAGGTGCTGTTGTTGAGGTAGGAGACAGACTCTTGTTGGCTAATTAACGTGAAAGAGGAAAAAGGAAACTGGCTGATCGCTGGGAAAGCGGCCTTTACACTGTTGTGGAGAAACAAGACAACACTCACACCTTTAGGATCAAGAACGGTGCTACAGATCAGGAGAAGCTAGTCCACAGGAACCTCATAATGCCTGTTAACTTTCTGCCCGTTCAAACTGAATCTGTTTACTGTTTATAATGTATGAGTATCCAGTGGCTATCCACTTTGTAACATGAGCGCCCAGTGCAATGTTAGAGCTTATTACTAGAAGAGTGGCTGTGAGAGACCGTATATGCTTCTGTTGTTATTAGATTAAATGGCGTGCTGGTGCCAAAAGTGAAAGCGTTTGCCTGATTCATCACACAACGCAAGAGAGTATACAACCACTACACTAGTCTGAGACTTCATTCTGTAGAGGCTATTTTCACAGGAAACAAGTCAGCCACTAGAGGGAGACAAATACACATCAATGATAGAGTGACAATCATCACAGGTCAGTTTCAGTTGACAGTATATTGAATTATGAAATTTCTACTGCTTCATTTGTCAACACAAGATTGAAACACAAGGAAAATACAAGATATATCGTCTGTCACATATATCTATAACAAAAGGAAGAAAAGCAAGGTCAAGATATAATGCTTAATTCAAATTTAAGATATATTTCCTGTCACAATGATAGAAAATTCAAAACCAAGGAAGAATAGCAAGCTAAATTCAAGATGTGCTCAAACAAATCCAGTGTTTGTATCCATTTATTGTAAGTTTTCTTGCAAATGGCAAATTTATTATGACTGAATCCGGTAGGCTATTTTCTTACACAGGTATTGTGCATTGTCATGGATCCATCAACTTTCATTTATTACAAAAGACACTCAAGGTTTATCTACCACTGCAGTGCTTTACAGAATATAAGAATCCCAACAGTCAAATACAGAACATTAAAATCCTATTAAAAAGCATGAAAAATAGAACAACAACGCAGCAATCATCCAATTAACAGAAAAGAGAGAAACAACGAGACAAAGTTTGACTAAAGTTAACAGTAAAACAAATGGATGGAAATCATGGATGAAACAAGGATTATAAGTAGGCCTTACGATAAAAATGTTTTTTTTTAAGTGTTTTAAAAGAAGATACTGATGTAGCACGTCTGAAATCCTCAGGCAGGTCTTTCCACAGCCAATGAGCCCGAGCTACAAATGCTCTGTCTCCTTTGGTTTTTAAGTTTGAAGTGTGAATAGTTAGGAGGTTCCTGCCTGAGGATCTTAGGCTGCGCACTGGCTGGTAAGGGGACAGCAGATCAAAAAATATATTCCCGGGCCAGACCGTGATGTGCTTTAAAAGTAAGAAATAAAACATTAAAATCAATCCTAAAAGAAATGGGCAGCCAGTGTAAGGTCATTAAAACAGGAGTAATATAATCTCTCTTCTTCGTTTTTATTAAAAGTCTCGCAGCTGAATTTTGCACGTTTGGAGACAACTGATTAATTTTTGGTTTATACCTGTTAAAAGACTGTTACAATAATCTAATCGTGAAGAGATAAATGATTGTTTGTGTTTGGTTAAAAGATAGCATTGATCTTATCTTAGCAATATTCCTGAGGTGGTAATAGCATGACGGGACAACTTGTTTTGTATGTTTGATAGATTGCTATCAAAGGTCAAACCCAGGTTTTCTTCACATTAACAGATAGAGGACCAAGGGAGGAGAGGACATCTGGGTGCAACTTATCAGTGCCAATTATTGAAATTTCAGTTTTGTCAGCTTTTTTCCATTTTTTTATGCCTGTAAAACAATTTCTGAGGTCTGTGAGGTTTGGAGACCTTTGATCAATTGGGAAATACAGCTGTGTGTCATCAGCGTAGCAGTGAAACTGAATGTTGTGTATTTGTATAATGTAGCAAGAGGGAGCATGTAGAGGGAGAATAAAATTGGTCCCAATATTGACCCTTGGGGGACTCCACAGTGAGGGGAAGCATGCTCATCAATAGACATAAAACATTTCCAATCTGTTAAGTAAGAGTAGAACCAATTCAAATATTGGTATGTTTGGAGATGCTCTGTCTTGAACTACTGTTGTCTGGGGACAAAACAGAGCTTTATTGACTTTAATGGCTGAAACTTCCAGTTGAAGTCCAAAGGAATCTAAAGGAAGAAAAGTAAGTTATATAAGAGAGATAAAGAGACATCGTCAAATGACAATCTGAGTGCATATGTGAATAAACTCTTACCATGGTGTCTTTGCATGTTTCCAAAGAGTAACTCTGCAGGAGACGGACAAGAACCAACTTCACAGTGAGGATGGCGTAACGCATCCCGACGCAATTACGAGGACCGAGCCCAAACGGCAGGAATGCATATGGGTTCACTTCCTCACCGCTGTCTTTACTAAACCTGTACCCAAACACAAACAGAGAGGCTCTAAAGATCTTGGAGAAACCACTGAGAGAGTAGAGAGATTTATGTTTAAACAAGTGTGTGACAAAAAAACAAAAACATATACACACTTATTAGATATGGTATTTAAAGTCAGGCCCAAAGCCATCAGCAAGAAAAGCACTAAAGAGTGGCCTGATGACACGGAAAATATTTAGGCATATTTTCTGCAGCTGCAATAACCATGTATTCAACAGTTGAGTGGACCTAACTGTGAGATATGATGCAGCTGTAGATATCAAGTTTAAATTTTGCGTGTTTCCATGGGTCCAAATGCTTGTTATGGATCATTAAATTTGTAGTCTTTTTATTTCTTGAGATTACAAAAGAGACTCCTCAATGTGGAAGCCTGGAAGGTGCATATAACGCATGCATGCCTATCCAAACTCTGGTAACACAAAAGAATAAAACAGCCTATAAACCATGACTTTATTTTAAATAGGTCTGGTGATTTATTTTAAGAAAAGCTAGAGGCAGAATACAAGTGATTATCATGTATAGACTGAAGCACTGAGTGGAATTCATAGTCATACAGGTGTGTTCATCTTTAAAGAGCAGCAGACATATTGTTGCTGTCATGCGCAAACTTGGCAGTAACAAAATAGGTGCAATAAAACATTTAAAGTTTTTTTTTACATATTAGGTAGTTACACTCACACTTAATGACATGGTTTACTTGACAATTAACTACTTTTGTATAAATGTTTACAATAATGGGTAAATGTGCAACTTTTAAATGAGTTCAAACTCTTAATATTTTTTTGGTAGGCATCTGGCGTCCTCCCTCTGGGTGTCTCCGCTTATCATACACTTACCTCTCTGGTCTGAACTTCTCAGGTGAACTCCAAAATCGTGGGTCCATGTGTACAATGCTCACAGGAATCCCAATAATGGTTCCTTCAGGGATGATGAGGCCGTGGACCTGGACAGGTGTTTTACACATCCTCTCAAGCCGTGGTGCAGTAGGAACCAATCGCATTGACTCATTAATAACATGGTCCAGGTACTCTAGATTGGTCAGATCCTCGTAAGATATGGGAGCCTGGATGTGAAAAGGATAAGGAGCCATCAATTCAAACATTTTGTGAGCCAATTCAAAATTGGTTTTGAATCACATGACCATGACGTTACATCTTTTGGTAAGTTGGTATCAATGTCTTCCTGCAAGGTCTGCATGGCATCAGGGTTGATGGCCAGGTTGTAAAGGATGTAACTGAGAGTGGCACTGGTGGTATCATAGCTACCAAAGATGAAGGTGAAAGCCTGGGTAAGTATCTCAGTTTCAGTCAAACCTATAAAATAAATACAGCAAAATGTTAGCAAACATCAACAGCTAGAAAACTAACTGCACTAAACAGTGCATTTGCTCTTAAGGTTAAATATATAAAAGACAGATGTATCAGGTTGTGGTTTTTTAGGCTTAAAGTCTTTGCAGACACAAGGATTAAATATCATGATTTCAAACTTGATCTAACACAAAACTAGTTTTTGATTTACAAAATGGAATAGAAAAACAAGATTGTTGAAGGGTGTTTCAAATCATAATGTCAAATATACAGAACAGATATATTTATTCAAACTTAAATAAAACAGAGAAAAGCTACCAAAACTGAGAGCTTTTGACAGTTTTGCTTCAGTGATTTTCATGATTCATAGAAATTGAGATAAGGTAGGAATACCTTTACTTGGCTGCTCTTGTTCATTCTTTGTCTCTGAATCTGGTATCTCGTTTTGAACCATCACCTGCAGGAAGTCTGCTCGGAGCTAGAACAGCACAGAAAACGTTCAACATTAAATAAAAATGACAAAGAAAACAATCTATGCGCTGGTGGATCAGTGGTTAGTGCACGCGCTCCATGTATGGAGGCTGCTGTCCTCCAAGCTGGCAGCCCAGGTTCAAAACCAACCTGTGGCTCCTTTCGACACTTTCTTTCCCTGATTTCCGACCCTAAACACTGTCCTACATTTATCTCTACAATAAAGGCACGGAAAGCCCAAAAATAAATATATAAAAAAAAAAGAAACTAACACTAAATGGGAAATGTATTATTATGTAATTAAAATATGAATGAACAGACACGTTTTTTTAGCATTTATCTTTTCAAGTTGCACCTTTTTCCACAAAAGCCGGTTTTAATGACAATATGAGATTTCTGGAAATATGCTTGTTAGGGCTCTAATCTATCGGTCTATCAGCCTTTTTTTTTTTTGTTTAACACTCGCTAAAATCACCAAACTTTGCACACCCATCAGAACAGAAGTGGTGAAAAAGGTTATATTTTATGAGTTTATGGGTCTATGAGTTTATGGGTAATTCGTAATTTTGAATAAATCTGTGTGTGACCCCTGAAAATAAATTTTGACAAATACATTTTCAGGGGTCACACTTGGATAAACTCATTTTGGGTAAGCCATCTAATCAAGCTCAAATTTGATGCACAAGTACAAGAGACCTGACTGAAGTTAAGTTCTCCGGCTTCTTTACAAAAGTAAAATGTCAACAAATGTATATGGCAATACAGTTCCCTTCCAGTTGATTCACTTGTTACAACACATATATAGTATGGGATATCATGCCCGGTGTGGCCTACTGAAGACACCTCTAACCACGCTTTTAAGGCAGATGATTTGTGATGACGTATGTGAGGCTCCACCTGCACATCAATACAACCGCCATCACAGTCATCCCTCAGCTCTTGCGCTCTTATGCTCTTCACCCTCGCTAAAAACACCTCTACCAAGTAGGGCTAACAAGCTACAGCTAGCTAGCTCTGTCTCTTCTTTGGCTACTTCTTGCTCTGAATTAGCTAAACTGCCCACTGTCACCATGTGTTTTGGGATGATCATGAAAGCTAAAGCGAGGTAGAAGTCTTCCATTCCCCCCGCTGTCCTCAGGGAGAGCGCTAGCCGCTAACCATGGTGATGATGATGATGCTCAGAAATCGTCACGGTTCTCAGATTTTTCTTCCTGTCCAAACCAACAATGGTCAGAAACAGCCTGCCCATTTTTCCAGATTTTGTCTTGGAGTTAACCTCAACATGGAGCAAACTGCTGTCTACCCACGTCACAGTGCCCAGCTATGGACAATATCAGGATTTAGATGAAGCTGAAAAGGCTGGTTAACCCTCCACCTATGGAGCCGTCAGTAAACCGTAATTGACTCCAATTTCAGTTATCAATTGTGAACATTTTGACTTTCCTTCAAAAATTGCTTGATAAACGTCTGTCTTTTTCCACAATTAAAGTCTATTTTGCAGCTATATCTGCCTGTCATTTGATTTTAGTGCTTGATGCTCTCTGTGGTTCCCCATTTGAGCCTATTGAATCAGTAAATATGAAATGTATTTCATACAAGACTACATTGCTTCACATTGACCTCCGCAAAGCGAGTGGGCAGTGTATTTGCCTAAGCTCATCCCTTTAGTGTATTATGCCTCACCATGAACATTTTAATAGTTAATAACTTGGCTGGACGGGGCGCGCTGGTGGTGCAATGGTTAGGGCGCGCGTCCCATGTATTGAGACTCTCGTCTCGAGCAGTAGGCCCGGGTTCGCTTCCACCCGTGGCCTCTTTCCGCATGTCATTCCCCGCTCTCTTTCCCCAGTTTCCGACTCTATCCACTGTCCTATCTCTGCATTAAAGGCACGAAAAGCCCAAAAAAAATAAAAAAATAAAAAAATAACTTGGCTGGACATAATCATGTCAACACTAAATCTTATGAGCTTGTCAAGACTGCCCTGATCACATCTGTCATTGGAATTTTCTTAAAGTCACAGCGACATCCTCTGGCAACAGGAAGTTAGTGATTTTGAATTGTCATTTACAATTCCAATGCGGTTGGCTAAAGACAGTCACACCTGGACATCCACAGAGGTGCAAAGGCTCATTGAGTAAAGCAAGCACAATTAAGTCCAATGTTAAGAAGCCCAATTTTAACGAGCACATTTCCCAAAATATTTCCAAAAATGTCAAGCAATTCCTATAATTCCCCACAATTTTGTTAACACATTAAATATGGCTTACTGATTTTTCAGACTGATGCTGCTCTTTCAATTTCTTGATGATGTTGAAGAAATAATCAACACTGGGTCTGGGCATCATTTCAATATCTAGGAGTTTCAACAGATGGCTGGCAAAGGGAAATACCACTGAAAAAAGCGACAGGGTTGTTCACCAAACTTTGCATTATAGTGGTGCCAAGATGCTAAAAAAATTAAAATTTTCTCTGCCTCCAAAAAAGTTGAAGAAATACATACTTGATAGAACTATTGGCCAAAAATTTAAGTTTATAATCTTTTTGAGATGAACAACAAGTGGGTCATCTGGATTGTTTATGGAGTTTGCCTCAACACCGAAAGACACACTGGTAATAACGTCCAAACTGTAAGGTGCCATGAATCTAGAAAAGAAAAATAGAGAGAGAGTGTTCATTTCGGACATATCATGGATTAAATGCGACCACGTTCAATGTCTCTCTGAGAAACACCGCAATGTTAAACTGGTATGTAATACATAAGCCACAATTTCAGAATTTCAAGTTATGTAATATGCTGATGATACTGTCATATACTAAATGTATCTGGAAGAACTAGACTGTCAGTTTCAACAC